TGCTTTGTATGTTTTTTTTTTTAAATTCGTATAACTTAACGCTATATTGGATTTTTTCAACTAAATTGCGACAATGCGACTGTAATTAAGGGGAGTATACAACATATTTAAGGAAGTATTTTAAGAACTTTATAATAAAAATCAAAATACTTTCACAGCAATACCACCTTGATTGACAAATTTGGTATTCAAGAGAAAGAAATATCCTAATAAATAAATAACAAGAACCAGAATATTTGTATCATAATTTTCAATTTCAAAATTCAATTCTGTTTTTTTTAGTTAATAAAATACTTAGACCTAAGTTGAGTAACACATCGTTAACTTATTTTTTTTCCGTTTTTTTTTTAGAAAGATGTAACCTAAAATATAGGCATAATACAAATCAAGATATTTATAATAGTAATAGCTTCTATGGTTTCGGTGTACTATATCGTGAACGCTTTTGCGGTGATGCTACCGGATGTCTGTAAGAAACATGTTTCCTAAGCGCGTCACGTGATCTCGACACATGCGAACAGGCTGTACAACTATATGAACTATTACTATGAGTCTCCATGTGTACCCGCAAATTGTATTGATTACTTAATTGTTTTCCACAGATAAGGCAAGTAACACTAGATTTATTATAATTTTGAGACGTTCTACCACTGACGGAGCTTGTAAGAAATTTGAAATTTGCATCCCAAACAGGTGGTGGTTTCGTGTCTTCCACTGGTGTAATCTGATCGTCTAAAACCGGTGTACTTTCATCCATCCCGATGTCTGAATATCCTTGCTCTGTATACTTATTGGACGAAGCATTAGCAGAAGGAATACTGACTTTCTCTCTCTGATTTAACTTTGCATTAATAGAATAATAAGGCTTTGTTTTCACACAGTATGGTATACTTTCTTGGTCATTGAATGCCTCATCCGCGTGTTCTGTCGTTTCTGTTGCTAAAACTGTTTCTAAGGACTCGCTGCTCGTAGCACTGTCTTTGCTTTCTTTCTTTATCGGTGGTTCAGATAACGTTTTTTCTTGTAGTTGCATTGGTGGAGGCTGTACATATAAACCATTGTCGTGTCGTGAGTTTTTCTGTAAAGAAAAGAAAGACAAAATAATAGTAGTTACGGGAGCAAACAAATGATATTCATTTTTAATCAGAAATACTGATTATTTTCATTCATACGATTCTGCTCTTGTTTGTCAAATTTTCTGTTCTACCTAGCCTCTGAGATTCCTAAACATCTTTTGGCATTGGAAAATGTTCGCTTGTTCTTGATTTTAAGTATTCTGGAAAGTATTCTACACTTCACATGTACAATATACATTTCTGGATATAATCAAGTATAAATAATTGACTTCTTTAGCATGTTATTAAGTGTAAAAGATTCCATGCAGTCTTTTCCTCCCTTCTGATGAATGTAAGACTGTTAAATATGTATACATCGATTCTAAATTTTTGTTATAGCCACTCTTGACTAAAAAAAAAAAAAAAAAAAAAGCNATAATCAAGTATAAATAATTGACTTCTTTAGCATGTTATTAAGTGTAAAAGATTCCATGCAGTCTTTTCCTCCCTTCTGATGAATGTAAGACTGTTAAATATGTATACATCGATTCTAAATTTTTGTTATAGCCACTCTTGACTAAAAAAAAAAAATAATAATAAGCATTATTGTATGTAATGCAATGTAGATATCGTGTAAAAAAGAATAAAAAAGAAAAGACTTAATTATTCTAAAGTATCTACCAAATGTTTAGTCATGTAGAGATTTTTGGAGAAAGCTATTTTAGATATACCTGTAAACTCATTCTATGGGGAAAGGTTCCATGGGATGCATCCACTTGCATTTAGTTGCAACACACACAACGACCTTGATCTCGTGGATATCGTTTATATTCATTATCGTTCCTTCGATGCACGTATGAACATAACATGTGTAGTAGGTAATTCCATCGTGAGGTACTTCTTGAGGAACGACAGTGAATGTATTTAAGTGACCTGAACAAAACAACACGATCATAGGGTAATATAAAGATTAAGAAAGGAAAAAGCGAATATGCAATTTGTTTTAGATAGTATTTTCTTATAATACTGTATAAAGGATGTGATTTTAATTTTTAAATGTCTGAGTATGTAATTAATGCACTTAATTAATATATTTCATGCAAATTATTCGATGTAGGAAACGTAGAAAGTGACGAAGTAGAGAAAATAAAAATATAAAGTGAAAATTTGTCTTAAAAAAAAAAATGTATATATTTAACAGCAATTTCAATTTTATATTACATTCAGAGATAATAAATAGCAAACAATTCTTGAATGATTTTATCTATTGATCGATAGAACCGCGTATAGAAATATTTTATAGAAATTTGAAAACATTGTTAAATATAGATGATACGGTATCTTAATACTATTGTTTATGTGTATTTTTAAAAATGTCTTTCTCTAC